GCTGTAGCAGCAGAGATAGAAAGAGTGAGATAGGGAAGAAAGAGACAGAAAGAGATACAGAAAAAGGTATTGACAAAGAAAGAATAAACAACAGCTGTAGCAGTAGAGAGATGGTAAGAGAGAGATAATGAAGAAAGAGAGAGAGAGAGACACAGAAAAAGAGGGATATATAAATGAGAGAGAGTGAGAAAAAGTGGGAGTGGGAGAGGGAGGGAGTAAGAGAAAGAGAAGTGGTAAAAGACAGAAAGTGGGTAAGAGAAGGAAAATGAGAGAGAGAAAGAGAAATTCAAAGAGACAGAGAGAAACAGGTGAAAGGAGTAAGAGAAAGAAGCATAGCAAGAGACAGAGAAGTGGTAAAAGACAGAAAGTGGGTAAGAGAAGGAAAATGAGAGAGAGAAAGAGAAATTCAAAGAGACAGAGAGAAACAGGTGAAAGGAGTAAGAGAAAGAAGCATAGCAAGAGACAGAGAAGGAAAAAAAGGAATAGGAAGTGCTTGGCTCTACTAAAAATCCAAATTTTTTTATCTTTCACTGCATTGTAAATTTAAACTTCTGGAAACGCTACTTTTTTTTTGTATGGTAGTCTAAAAAACATCAACGAGTTTCTATAGCTAGGTTACTCAATATGTGCTTCAACTGTTTTATATTAGAAATCACCAATTGTTGTGAATTGTCATGTGTTTCCATAATCTATTTAGTACAGGTAACTTACTTATATATAGATATAATTGTGATTGTATTGACTAGAGTTCATTTCATTTTTATGATATCAGATTTTGAAGTACAATGTATCTGTCATTGGTGGCAAGAATATTGGTATATCTTGCTTTGAATAAAATTTGTTTGACTAGTTGAGCAAAATATGGGCAACCTTAGCCTGATTACTTGTTTTTATATGAGAAAGTTGCATTTATTAGTTGGCGCCAGATGAAATGTGTAGTACCCTGTTTTGGGTATATATTGCATACATATGATGTATTGGCATAGAGGTTAGTGGGAAAAACAGGCTTTAAGTAATTAATTTTAATCCGTTGTCAAATCGGCATGTAGTGGAGAAAGTGAAGGAAAGTGTATCTATATCTGGTTTGTCATTACATTTCTATGAAATTTTAGTCTAAGCATATATCGAAACGATTTTATTCTCTTCACATTTAATAGTCCTTACAATAATAGTCCTCAGTGCATTCCTTGAATCGTTTTACTCGAACGATTGTTTTCTCTGCCGTAAAGAAGTGGATGAAATATATTCATATCTGCTTTGACAGTTGATTCTTATAAAATCTTATTCCGCAAAAAGATGGAATGCCAAATGTGAAGTATCCTGTTTTGGATATATATTGTATACATATGATGTATTGGCATAGAGGTTGGTGGGAAAAAGATGCTTTAAGTAATTAATTTTAATCCGTTGTCAAATCGGCATGTAATGGAAAAAGTGAAGGAAAGTGTATCTATATCTGGTTTATCATTACATTTCTATGAAATCTTAGTCCGCTACAAGATATCCTCTAAAATAGCCTCATATGCTCTAAGCATATATCGAAACGATTTTATTCTCTTCACATTTTATAGTCCTTACAATAACAGTCTTCAGTGCATTCCTTGAATCGTTTTACTCGAACGATTGTTTTCTCTGCCGTAAAGAAGTGGATGAAATTATATTCATATCTGCTTTGACAGTTGATTCTTATAAAATCTTATTCCGCAAAAAGGTGGAATGTCAGAATGATCTCAAATGCTCTACATATATTTCGAAGCGATTTTATTCCTTTCGCATTTTATAGTCTATAAATATATAATCTTAAGTGCCTTCCTTGGATCATCTCATTCATGACGCGGTGATTCCCTCTGTTAAGAGCCATGAATCTGTTTTAGAAACCACTGGTTGTTACGGCCTACCGATTAGTCAACTTTTTATTAACTGTTTAAGAACTTACGTATTATATATGTACTGGTATTTTAAAAAACATTTTCTTGTTAAACAACAAAATAAACTAACTAAAGGGGAAAAAATTAGATACTTTAAAATTAGTGATGTTGTTATAGAAGCACTTTTTTTACTTCTATTTTTAAATTTTATTTTTCTATCATCATTTCATATTTCTGCTAAGTATCAAATTAAAAATTTTTTCTTTGGTAATGTCTAAGCATTACTACTACTACTACTTTTACGAACTTATGTCAATTTTGCATATATATATATATATGTATAGGTATGGAAAAAATCTTTCCAATCCTTCATTATCCTTTAAAATAATAACGTCACCCTATTCATTTGTATTTCTAAGCACCCCGTCTCCTCACTACCAATCAGACTAAACACTTGTTGTGCTGTCCTGTCGCTCATAACGAGCTCAACCATTCCACATTTGTGCAGGCCACCCACCACTTTTCTTTATGTACTTGTTAAGCACTTAACAATTTTATGACAGCAAATGTCTGCTATAGTTTTTGTTTGTCCGTCCGTCCGTCCATCCGTCCATCCGTCCGTTGCCAACGTCCGTCTATACATTATACACTAAATGCTAAATGCTCATATCAGCCTGCCTAACAAGCCACCCGGCTTTTTGTGCCTTTACAAAGCTTTGAATATAATAAAACATGACAAAGTTATTAGACGAGTTATTATTATGTGCCAAGCAACTCATCCTGAAGGAAACATAAAGCCACAAAACACAACAAACAGCAAAAAAAAAGGACTACAAGTCCTACAAAAAGCTTTCAATGAAGTAAATGCAATGAAAAATATCAAGTAATTTTCAAGTCGACAATGTTGAAGGCTCCACTCACCTCCACTGACTGATTTGACTGACAGCACACCAAACCAAAAAAAAGAAAAGAAAAAACAACAAAAAATAAAAGCAAGGATACTGTTTGTTATACATTGACGCCTAGTTAATAGCTCCGGAAACGGCCGCCGCCGCCAACGGAAATAACAACAAACAATAACAATAACAACAACAGGATTTCACTCACAAATGGCGCAAACACGGTTGC